GTATTTTAATTTACGGATTAAAATTGATTATATATTAAACAATTTATCACGGAAACTTTTGTTATGCTAATTATTTGCATGTATAATTCAATTGTTTTAGTTCGTGTTCTCTCATAATCCAAATTATATTTAGATTTTCAAGAATGATAAAATAACACGGATGAAATATATTTGTGACTCTAAGTATTGAAATAATAATTATTGTTCTTAAAGATCACAATAATCGAAATGATTATTTAATATCTTAGATTACTATCATTTAATCGATTCTCAATTAAATTATTTATTGTTTAATTAACAAGGATTGAGAAAATTTAAAGCATTGATCGAAATATATTTAAGTTTAATATTATTAAAGAAATATAATATAAGAAGCATTGATGATCGAAAGATTATGTTTAATTCTCCTATCCCTTTTTATGTATTTTCTGTTTCAATTTTTAATCGCGGTAATGAATGATTACGATTCGATAAAGATTTAACTGTATCATTGCGATACAGTTTCATGTCGTTAATTAATCTGTAATTAATTAATTTTTGTCAACATTTATAGCAAATTATGTTTCGATACTAACCGTAATCGTGTTTAGTAAAAAAATTACAGTATACGAAACGTTTCTTACCACTACTTTACTCGAGAGACACCGTGGGAATAATGACAAAGCCATAATATAGCGCGCTACTGTTTATATTTTACATTGCCAAAATCGAGCATCGTGTTATCGATAATTCGTTACCAAAATATTTTATATATTATAAAATATACATTAACATGAAATATTAAATTATAGAAACATTCTAAGTTATGAATTAAAATTGATTATTTATTAAACAATTTGTCACGGGGCCTTTCGTTATGCTAATTAATTGCATATATTATTCGATTGTTTTACTTCATTTTACTCCGTACGTTTCAAACTTCCTTTCTTCTCTTACGTTATTTCTCTTCGTGGCATTCACTCACTCACGAAAACACGATTTAATTATAATTAATCAAATACGTGGCGCTCTTTGCATGAGACTCTCAATAATCATACAAAATAATCATACGAAACTTATATACGCACTTAAATGATAAAAGAGCAACATGACCTTTACACGAGATTAAAATCATTCGCTACTTGCTACAGCAATGCGTATGCTACTGATACGCATATTATATGCTGTATAATATACAAATTATAAAAATGAAAATATTAAAATAATAAATAAAGTTGTGATAGCAGTCATTTAATTAATAATTAATTTATGTTCACATTTTAGAAAAATTTGAAGTTTAGTTGTTTGATTGTAACGCAAAATATTAAATTGTAGAAGTTTTTATATTTATAGATTAATTAAATGATTATTTATTATCTAAACAATTAATTAATATACGAAACGTTTCGTATCATTATTTATTGCTTGAATATCACCGAGCAAATGATAGCAAAACTGTAATATATAAACAACGTACTACTGTTGCCAAAGTCATGATTTTATTAATAATTCGTTGTCGAAATATTTTATGTACTATAAAATACACACGCGTAGAATATTGAATTATATAAGTATTTTAATTGATTGATTAAAATTGATTTTTTATTAAACTTTAAACTTATTAAAATTTATTCATTATGGAATCCTTTATGCATAAAATATTTAAATATATTATTGTGAAGCAATTTATGAAATATTACTATCTATGTAAAAGTGTTAAATAATATAAGAATATTTTATTATAGATATTTTAAGTATATTAAAATAAGATAATACAGAATATTTTATATATATGTTATACTAATATAATTTAAAAACTTAAATAATTTAGATAATTTACAATGAGAGAGAGAGAGGGGGGGGAGAGGGAGAGGGAAAAAGAGAGAACTGTTATTGAGAAAACAATATATAATATGATCTGAATATAAATGACATATATATATATATATATATATATATATATATAATATAATCTGAATATAAATGATAAATATAAATGATAAATAATTTATAAACTATTTACCGGATAATGTAGGTTAATACGTGGCCCAATGCTTTTTAGACTTGCTTTTTCTTTCCTTCGCTATTTTTTCGTTGCACTCACTTTCACTCCTGAAAACAAGATTAATTAAGATTAGTTAATTAATATTAGTATACGCAAAAATTGCGAGACATTTTGCGCGGCATTCCTGATTGCGTAGTAATTAGAATTAAAAGTTTAGCAAGTACTAATTATAATTATCATAGCGAATTATGTTTTAATACTAGTCATAATTGTGTTTTAATACTAGTCATAATTGTGTTTTATCGTTAGAGAAAAAATTTAATAATATACGAAGTATTTCGCACCTTACTCTTCGAATGTTGCCGTGTGAATGATATCAAGACCGTACATGTAAACACAGCGCGTCATACGCCGCCAAGGCCGATCGTGTTATTATCCATTTACTGCTGATATATTTTACGTACTTTAACATATACACGAAATGTTAAAGTGTCTAAAAGTTTTAGATTACATGGATTAATTAAATAATATTTGTTAATTTGATGTATCGCAAAGCTTTTTATTATGTTAATTATTTCGATTTATGATTCGATTGTTTTGCTGTGCGTTTTGATTCTAAATTAAATAATTAAATTTTAAATAATTGAAAAATAGAACGAGATAAAGCGTCGCGGAAATTATATTTTATTCTATAAATACCATTAAAGTAATAATTGTTCATAAACAATACGGACCACAAATGTTTATTAAAATATCTTCGTGTATCATCATTTGTGTGATAATAATTATGTCGCGCGCGTATCTATTAATAGTTTTGATTATCATATTATAAAAATTATACGTATATTTTTCATAATCGAATATTTATATTTTTATTCTTATTATTATCGATTTATTTATTCGCGTTTTCTCGCGAATTTTAAATCGCGATTTATTTTGTAATTTAATTATTGATTTACATTGAAGCTTATTTTATTCTTTCGTATTTTGAATATTTCCTTTGATAATCTACACAAAATGCGCTAGTAATGCAAATATTTTCTTCTACAATCAAAGAAATGATCAATAATTTTATTAATGACTCTTTTAATCACGATTGTATAGATTTACGTTACATAAAACTTATTAAATTCTATTATCGCATATCGATTATTAATGATAAATGTTGCATAATTAATCATCGCTAATCGGGCTTGTCTGAACTATGTAAAAATTTTTAGTAAATTTTATATTATACGTATATTTTAGAGACATTTTCTGTATTAAATTATTTTCTGTATTAAATTTGTGTATTAAATTATTCCATGTAATAAATAAAAATTATTTTGTATTAAGTTTCAAATTATATTTTACATTCACTTTTGTATTAAACCCTGTATTGAAAGAAAATAAAAATAAAATTAAAAAAAAATTTTTTCCTCGTATCTCCACCTTACAGAGGCATTTGCTGGATGAGGTTTGAGTACTCTAATGAACCTAAGATTATGCCGGCAGTAACTTATAATACCGATATTCATATATGTAGACTATTTTTATATTTAAAATAATCTTAAGTATGATCTTAGATCGCGTCTTGAGATTCCGATCAGTTAGTAAAATAGTTGTATTTTCCAACTTACTTAAGACGATCTTAAATATAAGAATGAATTATGAATGCCGGTCTTAGATAGGGTTACCTATGCCGGACAAGTTGAAGGGAAAGAGTCAGACTAAGAAAGATATCAAAATTATATATATATATTATTATATATATAATTATATATAATTATATATAATTATATATAATTATATATATATATATATATATATATATATTATTTTTATTTATATTAATATTTTTGAATAAAATGAAAGAAAAAGAGACAGTAATGGAGAAAATAGAAAAAAGACATCTACAGTGATTTGAATTTCTCAAACCTTTTTTCCTTCTCTTTCTCTCTTTCTTTCTCTCTCTGAGTGATTTGAATATCTATACTCGAGAGAACAAATGTCCATAGAAAATATTTCGATGGACTCCATAGAAAGGAATAAGCATGACAAATGATGATAATCCTTATGATTTTAACACCAAGGAATATACAATAAACCATAATAATCCAAGAACTCGAAGAAGAAAATAATAGATAATAGAAATAGATAATAGAAATGCATAATGATTGGAAATGATTAGAAATTAAAAGACAGTATGAATATAACCTATTTATTAATAGTAATACTATTTTGTAATTATATTAAATTTTATAATTTAGTACATTATATTATATAAAATATTAAGCATAAAAATATTAAGAGAGCTGGTAAGAAAATTATAATAATAGTATATAAATAATGTTGACTATATTAGAATGGAACATATGAATTCTTTATATTTTATATAAAGGAAGAAATATTTAAAATATTTTGCAACTATATTTTTCGAATCTTAATTATAAAAACTTTAGAACAATCAGTGATTAATTTGACAAATTCTATACATGTATTAATAATTAAATAAGTAATAAATAAATAAGTAAATAATTAATAATATAATAAACTGATCTTTGATATTTATTAACTTTTTTAAATAATTAAAAAAGTTAATAAATATCAAAGATCAGTTTATTGCTAATTAAGATTTATAGAAATAACGGTTAAAAATGTTTTTATTCCACAGCAGGCATTTTGTGTTTTGTAAATAAAAATATATAAACATGGCAATGAATATAGAAAAATAATTATTTCATCTTTGAACATTACATTGGAAGATTACAGTATCTTTCACGATTGCATAATTTATTTACTATCAATTTATATACATGAGTGTCTTGTTATACTCTGGTGCTACCAGCATTTCGTGCACATAGCACGGAACGAAACTAGAAATTGTGCACATGATACCCTCTGAGAACATTCATGGACATTGGCTTTGTAGTTCATGTCCACATTTTCAATGTTCATAGAGGGAGTATCGCTTTCAGGAATCACCTAAAAGCAAGCCATGACATCTCTCAGTTTTCTCTCTGTGTTGTCACTACTGCAGATTGAAAAACAAATTCATGAAAGTAAAGAGTACGTTACATATAAAAAAACATGCTACGTAAACGTCAGTTGAATATTGAATAAAAGAAAAAAGTTTGTGTGAGTAAAAAAAATAAAAATTTCAGTGTTTTTAATATGACAATTAAAAAGTTAATGTTATGTGCATATGATATTTGGGAATATAAATTGAATGACAAAAATCAAACACTTCCATATATAATTGTTTAAACAATAATAATAAATATTTACATATTTATGTGAGAAAAAGCAAAGTATTTTTATCTCGTACTTTTTATAAAATATTTTTTATAATACACAATTTTTATTGCCTTATTTATCTTTTTCATATATGTTTTTTAAATTGCCTATTGTTCATCTGCTTTTTATTAGACAAAAATGTATTGTATTATTATAATATATATAGTATTGTATTATTGTATTATTGTAATATATATAGACACATTTTTTCCTCAGAAAAGAAACATCGTTATGAGTGAGATAAATAATTTTTCATGGACTCGCCAACTTGAGTGCCCACCAACAGTATACAATGATTCAGTGAAGAAAATGTTTGTCTATTATTTTATTTATTTATGAAATGTTTAATATCGAATTCTTACTTATTTGCTTATTTTTTTATTTCTTTTAGATTGTGTAAGGGAGTACTGGAGCTCGTATGGGAGGATATCTCTAATTCTGTGTTTCCCATAGCAGAAGCATCTAAAATAAGGAAAAATATTTTGTTATATAAACTAAAACATGGATTGAATGATTCTGCAATTGCATCCATAAAGCATTTAAGTCAATTAAAGGATAAGAGTAATACATTGAAACAGCAAATTTCTACATTAGAAGAAGAATATGAAGAACAAGATTATATTGTCAGACAAAAAAGTAAAATAAATAAGAAATATGTATTAATTTTAAGAATATTTTAAGGTGCAATATTAACAAATCTTATTTCAGTGCAACGGTTGAAAGACTTAAAAGCCAAGCGTTCATTAATTAATAGGAAAAAAGATTTTTTGAAACTAAAACATGATGAAACCAGTAAGCAATTGAAGGATTGCAGTGTCATGAAACAAGTATGTCAACATTTAATGCCAAACACTTCCAAAGACATGGATCAACAAAAATTGAGAGAGAATCTGGATACAATAGCAGGCTTGCGTTCAACTGCAAACAAAAAGCAAGTGAGTAATATACAGAGTATTGTTATATAAAATCATAATTTATAATATAATATGTTAAAAATGATGCTTTTTGTAAATAGGTTTGGGAGAAGATATCAAATTCTCTTGGTAAAATTGATGTACACATATTATGGACGCATTTATATGATGCTTTATCACAAGACTTGGACAAATTAATGAAGTTGGAGATCAAAAATGATTCTACTCATTCGACTGTAGAGAGTGAAGTTATAGATATCGGTATTGCAAAAGCATGTGGCCAAAATATATGCATGATATCAAAAAATATATTATCTGAAGCTAAAGTTAGAACATATCAGCAACGTTTAATGGAATTTATAGAATTAATCGAGGTAATATATGTAGATTTTTTTAAACAAATTACAAAAAAGATATAATTGTCAAAGGAATTAAATTAAAATTATTACACATTTCATTTTGCAGTCATCATCTCATGAAGATATTAGCACATGGTTAGCTTTAACATTAGAGGTAAAAAAATTAGAAGCTGAACAAATGTATCTGCAAAATGAAGTACAAGGATTAAAGAATAATATTCAAGACAACTTTTTGCTTAATCATGATATAGCTCGATTAACGACTGATATAGAAACGGTTGATACACAGATGGTATGTTTTAGCATTTAATATTTTTTTACATGTAACACAACTTTTGATATTAATATCGAACATGTTACAGGATGAGTATATAAAGGATATTCAGCAGTCTGTAGCCATTTTCAACTCTACAACATCGCTTATACTTAAAGCAAAAGAAAAATTACATTATGGATTAGAAAAAATAGTGGCATTACGGTCCGACGATTATGATCCAAAATGTTTGAATAATGCACTGGACACCGAACTGGATATGTTTTATAATAATTTAGATCTCAATGCTTTGCGAAAAGTAATGTTGAAAGGAGATGTAGGATTATATAGGTTGGTAGAAATTTTGTTTTAAATTTTGCGTTAATATCTTACACGATTATTAATATGACATGTGAATTGTTTCACACAGATACACAATCTGTAATCTTAACAAAGCTTCCATTACTACAATCAATCCGCAATGGAGGATTAAGGCTTGCTTCCCAATGATACAGATGCCAATATATTGTCTTGTAGAATGCTATAGCAACGCGATTGCCAATATAATCTACACAAAGTTACATTGTTCCACATCAATCAAAGATATCGATCAGTGCCCTGATAGATTAGTATCACGAGAAAAATGCGATTACAATAGTCTGGAATTATTAAGCTTCGGTAAAGTTGTTTGTGATCAGGCGCGCGAAGAGATTGAGCATTTCAACGCGATTTTAAAAGCTTGGTAAGTTAATTTGTGTGTGAAATATTTCGAGCAAATTCTCTTAAATTATCGCGTTTTTCCAGGAAATATCAGGAAGTACAAGAAGTGATGGCGATAGTCGAAACAACTGTAGACAACGTATCCTTTAAAGATTGGCTGCAACGTTACAGCTTATTATTATATATGATACAAAATAGTAAATGATCGAAAAATACATCCGTCGTTTATGTTATTATCATGGATGCGCAAAGAATTTTGTACAAATATAAGATTTTATAATGTATAAAATAGATAAATTAGTTTAAAAATTTCAGAAATATATGAAAATGCAATAAATTGATAATATAAATTCTTGCATGAAAATTAAATTTTGCACGAAATATGATTGATAAAAATAATTTGCAAATTTTAATTATAGTGCTTAACAGCATGAGAAAAAAATGGCATTACCAATGTGAATACAGGATACAGGAATAGTAAATAGACTTATATTTTTCACAAAAATACATCATGTAATACATGTAATTAACCAATTGTGCGATTAATTTTTGTTACAATAAAATGTAAAAGTTCTCTCAATGTAAGAGCACTTGGAATTGTCACAGATCACTCTCTCATGAGATTGGCCCATAAATCGCTTTCGACGTATCCCATCTCGACGAGCACTTGCAACAAAACAACTTCAAGCTCTCGGCCGAGTGGGAGAGAATTCGTTGGATTGTTCACGTATATTTTTTTTTGTACCATGCATATGTATTTAATATCCATTATCGCTACAGCGATCATTTTACGGCCGATATTTAATATAAAAGAATTCAACGATGGTATTTTACAAACTTTAAAAACGGCAAATTTAGACAGTCGCATGGACGCTCACGTACAGTATATGTAAAAAATTATTGCAAATAGATCGCAATCGAAGAGCTTACTATCAATTTAGATAACAAAGGAATTAATCTTTTGATAATAAATGATATAAAATCTGTTTAGTAAGTGATACATTTCTATTTGTTTATGAAAGGGAAGAAAATATAATAAATCAAGGCTTTGTATATAAAAATAAGCTCTTCAATTATACACATCTATATTATTCAAATTATAAGATTCGAAGAAAGGGCAGTAATCAGACTGGAGGTTTAAGAAGAATCGAAACCTCAAGTCATTTCTTTGACACGTTTTTGTTTTTTTTTTCTTATGTACGTAGCCGCAACTCTATAATTCTATCCTATTGCGATTTTATACAGTTTTCGCTTCTTATACATACGCGCATGTGGATTTATATAAATTAGCACTTTGACCCCTCAATTCGATTTTTTTTATTTCGATAGCACGAAGTGTAGCTTGGCGATCGTTGCACCTCGAACTTCTCTTTTAATATAATATAAAACTAACTTACCTATATGTACAAGATGTATTATATATGAAATGCGCGAAGCGAACAAGAAATGCCTGCCATTTCGATTGTGTTCATTCTTCGACTTCTATTTAGGAGGGCTTAAAAGAACCGATAATTTTTCACCCGTTTTCAATCATATCCAATCTTTGAGAGATTTATTCAACATTGCAAAAGAAATATTTATATTTTTTTTAATTTCATATTCATTTTTTATATAATTTAACGATTTATCGATTGTAATCTTATTCTAAGAGTTCGTCTTATTCTCCTGAAGAGATTCTCAATACATAAGTCGAAGAATTAACGATCGTAGCAGGAAAATCTAACGCTTCGCGTATTCACACGCGTTAAATAGTGACAACCGAGATGACGAATGATCCGCGATAGGCGTCGCGATACCAGAACCGGACGTCGACTACTGGGCGCACGAAGAAGGAAAAAGAAAAAAAAAGGGTCGAGTCTCTCTCGCGAGTCGACGTACACGATCACAGAAGTCGGTTACTGATATTTCGAACCGATGTTTTTGGGCTTTAAATATTGAGCAAAAGCACGCCTGTCTTCAAGATACGCTCGTGTCGACGCGATCATATCCCTACTCCTATTTAACTCTAACGTTCATATTTTTGAGGATTTATGATTCGATTGAATAAATTTAGATTAATTCATTATGAATCGTTTTAATTAAAAAGAAATTAATTCATAATATTATATAAAGTATAAAATTTCAATATTAAATTTTATTCAATCATATCTTGAATTATGAATATACTATAACTATTGTGTGTAATATATAAAAAGTAAAATTTTTAGAATTTACGTAATAGCGAGAGAAAGAAAGAGAGTAAGAGTTTAATAACTTTGACAAGACAATAATGCACATAGCATTACCGTAAAATTGTAACGAATAAAATCGGATGTTCAACGACTTTTATCACAACGTATATTTCTCGCACTCCGATCTATAGCGGTCCTTTTGTACTGATAAAGTCGAAAAATCTTACATTAAAATCCACTCGTCTCATCCGACTCGATTAAGATCATTAGACTTTTTCGACAAAACGTGCGCAAATTCTACGCGTGTCTCTACGCAATCGAAATGTAAATGAAAAAAAATATTTAACATACTACGTCAAAATATAACTATTGTAATTTACCGTTATTCATGTAATTTCTTCTATTATGTCAGAATTTATTTTTATCAAGCTAGAAGGAATGCACTTTCCGATATTGCATTCCGCAAAAATGATCATTAAGTATTTCCTATTGCGAAAACGACGGATAAGAAATGTCAATGCAATGATTTATTGACCGATTTATAACTACCGTGATTCCCAGAAAGATAAAAGATTACTTTGTTCAAAACAAAATCAATTGTCATTACTTTATTCATAAAAAATCAATCTGTTCCGAATAAGCGTCATCACTTTGTTCATAAAAAATCAATTTGTTCCGAATAAGCGTCATCACTTTGTTCATAAAAAATCAATTTATTCCGAATATGCAAAGATTACGAAGATCTTTCGTGTAATTAAATTTATATTTATTTTTTAAATAAACAACTCTCTTTTTTTCCAATGCTCGTGAACATTAGTTAATTATCAATACCGAATCATTTACTCGAGAATAACGTATATTATCATCAAAGCTTTTTTCCATATAGCATTCTATGTCCAAAAGACAGGACATCCTGAAAATGTCTAATCGCCCAAAGATATTTTCTGGATACCTTCTGGACATCTTTTGGATATGCATGCTGTGTGGGTTCAAATCGCAGGTTTATTCATTTGCTTTGCTCAACATTTCGCATTTTGATACCGTCATTAAAAAAAAAACCGTTCGTTTCTTATACTCATAGGAGCATGAAGATACGATCCGTCCGAGCGTCCTTTTGCAACAGTTACGGAATTACGATTGCGTGCGATTTTAGCTAAAATTAGCTAGAGAGTTGCCACGCGTTCGTAAATATCAATGTTTGTATACCGCGAGCCGAAAGCGTGCGACGCAATTTTGTACTTTTTTTTTTTACATAAAGATGCGTCGATCTCGATGAGTCCTTCGATCCTTCGCATAATATATAATAATATTGGCAGATTAAGGATAAAGAAAAAGAAAAGGAGAGAAAGAAAGGAAGAGATAAAAGAAAGCCCGTTGGATCTTTCGATAATTCCGCGGAAAAACACGGCGTCGCGTGGCGAGAGAAGATCGACTAGGCTAAGCGTTCGCTCGAAAGTCACTCGACATTCGCGAACGATTTTCGGAGGCTGAGCTCGGTCGCTAAGCTTTCGCCTTTCACATAATAGTCGGCAGCATCCCTCCTTCTAGGTGAGGAACCGTTGGCAACGCCGTTAGCGATATTGCCATTCGCAACGCCATTTGCCCCGCCATTGACGATGCCATTGGAGATGCCATTGGAAACGCCGTTAGCGACGCCATTCGCGTATTTATCCTTCGATTGATCATCCTTGGCGATGCCGTTTATCACCATATTCGATTTGCCAGGCCTCTTTTGCTGATAGCTCTGTTGGTAGAACTCTTTGAATAGGAAGAGAAACATGACGGCGTGCAGACCGATCCACCAGACAAACGCCTTCGGATAGTTGCACTCGATGAAGAGCAATTGGAAGGCGTGAACCATGATGGCGATGAACTGTAGCATCTGGAATGCAGTCAGATACTTCTTCCACCACAGGTATGGTTGTACCTTTGGACCCATCGCCGCCAGAAGATAATACGTATACATCACGATGTGGACAAAAGTGTTTAATAAACCGAAGAAAGTCGAGTGGCCACCTGAAAGATCAAGCACATTAGCAAAAATTAACATAAAAATCTTTGCCTACTTCTGGTTTACCGTTTATCGGAGACAATATTATAAAAAATTATAAGAGAAGAGATGTCGCGCGTATTTCTAAGATTATTTATAAATTAATTGTTATAAAAAAGTATGAGTCAATCTTTTTTATGAAATTTAATTACCATATTGCTCGGTGCTATTATAAAAGAAGAATATCATTATTGCTATTACGAAAGAAATATTTATATTGAGTTTTTTTTTAAATGATACTAGCTTATGAAAATGAGTTTATCACACGATTATTTAAAATTAAAGAAGGAAACATGTTCAAATTCTCTCAAAAAAAACTTCCGTTTGAAAAACATATTTATACTTCTATGTGTTGTATAATGAATACTAAAATAATAATTAAATAATTTAAAAATAATTAATAATAGTAAATAATTTAAAATAATAATAAATAATTTAAAGATGGTATAAAATATGAAGAAAAAACAGTTATTTTGTTCTAATTTTTTAAAGAGCGTAATCAGCGTGACTTGCATGAGGTTTCGTAACAACCATTGCAACCATACAAATGCATTTGTATATACATGAAGAAAGACTCAGCTCTCTAGAATACAACGCAAAAGATTGTGCGATGACATTGACATAAATTAGTTTTGCAAAATCAAGCAAGTTAAATAAATACATAAGGAATTTTGATAAACAATTCTTTTTACCTACCGGGTGTAAACTTGACACCAAACCATACCGACATAGGCATACAACCATGATGAATCACATGCAATGTAGACACATGATTGTTTTTCTTTCTCAGCACAAAGAAAATCTGAAAAGATACACATAATCAGCACATGAAGATTAAAATTAAATATATTTTGATATATAAAAAGAAATATTTAAAATATACGTACCGTGTCCATGAATTCGGTAAATTTCGAGAAGTAATACCACCAGCTTGCGTAGACCATCTGCGATTTTGAAACATCAATTAGGAGGGCATTCTCAATTGCTCCTTTTCTATCTCAAATTTATGTACAAAATTCTTTTTCACTTTATTTTCTATATTCGACAAATTTTATCCTCAAAAATAATATTTCCAAATTTCTTTTATATTCCTGAACCGGATTAAAATTTGATCTCTGTTATGTATACACTTAAAAGGTCCTTAAACATTTATGATATACAAGTAAATTAGAATTAGTTTCATTTAGAGACACTACACGTGTTAGATTTGAAAAAAAAAAAATAGTTTCTTAATCGATTAAACGTGTATTGATAATTATCACATGAATGTAAATAGGATGAAAATAGAAACATTGAATGTATATATGTAGACTTTTTAGGACCTTTAAAAAGTAATTTTCAGATAGTGTTTGCAGATATGTAAAAAGAACATGTGCAAGAACATATCGACATAATATATATCGTCATACATTGGTACATTCGAGAGTCCGTGAAAGAATAACCGTCATTAACAACGGAGTGCGTCTCAGTATAATGTGTGGTACAATGACAGGAATTAATGTAATGCGATGATGCATGAATGAGAGGTGCCTACATAGCCTTATAGCGTGCTCGTTACTGCTTTTAAAAGACGCAGTATTTCTCGTCGCAACATATGTGTTAAATAGTGTTAATTACACAGGCGATTAACTACAGTTTAGTTCGATAAAGATACTCTACATATAACAAGTTCTACTAAATATGACCATTACCTGACGAGGTTTTAGCTTTTCTTTAATATATATATATATATATATATATATATATATATATATATATAAAGATACATATATAAATATAAATATACATATACTTAAATATACATATATAGACTACAGTGAATACAGTGCCTATCGAAGTAATACAGAACCGGTCACATTGATCACTTACAGAAAATTAATCAAATTCTTGACAAAAGAGAAAAAGTTCTTTAAATAATCCTTCAAAGGAAAAGATAATTATTAATTTATATATCAGAAAAAAAGTTTAACACATAAAATATAAAAAAAAATTCACATTCATAAGCATGATGTTGCCCTTTTTTTTTCGTCGAAATTTCGAGTTAATTTTTTTAAATTAATCAGTAGTGTGAAATTAGACACACTATATAGGAAGAAAAAAAATAACATTATAAAATGAGAAAGGATGATTCTGTTAATCACATAAACACATAACCCACCCTTAGTACTTCAGGTCTGTCGCTGTAGTCTACAGGTTGACACCTTAGAGAATAGTCTCCAGTCAGCCAGCCGGATATCCCTATCTGCAACCACATTCGCCCAGAGGCCATTCGCCGATCAATCAAGGGAATCAAGATTAGAAGGAAAGGTATATAAAGTAGTGTTGCGTAAGCCTAACTAAAAGAACTATGCTCTAACATATATGCTTTACAAATGTCGCACCTTCTATCAAAAAGCAGTCGCAATTAGAAGAGAGAAAGAAAAATTATTCCGATTTTTTTATATGTATTCTAAAAAATTGAATATTTTAGATTTCGGTTAAAGAATAATTAGAGAATGATTTTTTGTTAAAATCATCACATGTGATGATTCTAACAAAAAAATAGCTCTGCAATTGCAACTACTTTACAACAAGATGCAATACATATTCAACACATCCGATTGACAGCTGCCCAATTTTCGTTGATATACAGGAATAGCGAAGCTATTCTAAGCTTGCGAAAGGTGTATCGAGGCGCTCGAAGGACATGCCGAAGGTTCTTTATGCGAAATGAACAGGCAAGCGTAAGCTCTTCCGCGCCTAATCGCACGCCTCTGCATCATTTATTCGCCCTTGCAGTCAAAGCCTCCTTTCGGACAGAGAAAGTTCGGGCTTCCTTTCAGACAAAATCATACAGTTGCAATAATGAGTAATCCCAAGATATATATCAGCGGTTCCACAGCTTGGTGATAATCTGTCAAGACTATATATATATATATATCGGTGAATAAATCGATTCAATTCCATGATCATAGTTGAAATTGTCGTCTCGTTGAAATATGGGAGATTTGTCTCGTAACAGTATCAACTAAATTACAGACTTTTAACTACCAGCACTTGACACGCACTTACCCTTATCGCGGTGGGGCTGTTAGAATAATCCACCGGTTGACAGCGAAAACTATACTGGTCCCACCATCCGCCCATCAGACACTATACGTTGCAAAAGAAACGTACAATCGTGCTTTTACATAACTTTGTCATTGGCGCATTCTCCAATTGCCATTCGTTCGCGAATTTGCGATAAATTTATTGAAAAACTTGCTTTTTTTACTAGATATTATATTATATTTAAAAAATTGGTTTCAGAAAACGCATAAGTTTAATCAGGAATGCACTAATGACAAATATATTGGTTGCAAACAATCAAATTGTTTGTCGCGACTGTAAAATAGAAAGTTTTTGTTAAGTTCGCTTCGCGTTCCAGTGGCTGCGGACACGGAAAGATCATGAAATCATCAGTTAAATAATAACGTGCTATACCTTGAGATCATTATCATTCGTTTTCAACCGTGTCGCGATGAGTATCGATGATTTCGAGACTCAATGATGATTTGAAAAATCCGAAGCTGCATGAATTGCAGAAATCCAGAATTTATGAATAATTGAAAAGTTTTAAATTTCAAAAACGAAATTTTATATTCGAATTTTATACTGATTCACATTTTTTAAAAAGATTCTCCCATTTGTTTCTACTATTTCTAAAATGTGAATATCTTAGATTATACGAAATATATTTGCATAATAAAAAATACAGAAGGACGAAGAACCGCTGAAATGAAAAACAGGAATAATCTTCAACTCTTTGTCTCCTGAAAAAATTGCTTTACATTGGATAAACATTTTCTTCAATGTCTGTTTTTTCATGACAGCTTGTATTACGAGAGCAAATATCGGATTCTCACCTCATAAAACAGCCACGCGGAGAAGATCACTTGAAACAGGTTGTAGACTACCAGAGTATTCTTAAGCTGGAAAGGTTTTCGGTTCTCCATAAGCTTCGGACCCAATGTTTTGACAACGTAGACATAAGTAATGCAAATGAACAGCGTGGGAAAAGGTGAACTCATCAGCAACCAATCAGTCGTCCTTGTATCTATAAAAAAACATCAAAGCAATTCACGAGAGTGGAAATTTCATTCACCTCTTAAAAAAATCGAAAATTAGCGATACGCCATCTCGTTTAATGCAATTATAATTTTTCAAATGGACACATCAAACAAGATACACGAGAAAGATTCAAACTGCGTACAATTATGATTATATTAGTGCATACATGGGATAGACAAAATAATGTGAACACCTGAAGAATATTTTATATTTGTTAATTAATAAGATGTTAGGCCATTATTTGTCTCTAATACAGCTTCAATTTTCCTTGGAATAGAGAATCATGCAATTTTTGAATAGTCCAGTGGAATACTGTCCCATTCTTTTATCGAAATATCTGTCAATTGCTTCAGAAATATTGGAAGAGAAAATCAGCTTCTCATTCTCTTTTCCAAAATTGCCCATGATTCGATGATACTTAAATCGTACTAGTCAAAAAAGATGTTGAAGTTCATTTTAATTCAAATCAAGATTGATCTTTTCTAGCTATGAGTACGTTATTATCTTAAAAAGTGATAATTATTTGATAGAAGAATAGAACAATATCCTACTAGAAACTATTCAAAAATTGCATGGTTCTATTCCAAGGAGAATTGAAGCTATATTAAAAGCAAATGGTAGTTCAATACCTTATTGAACAAATATAGTATTTATTTTTCAGGTGTTCACATTATTTTGTCTACCACCAAGGGAATATTTTATATAATAATCATATCATTAAAAAGAGGAATTGATACGACTTCATCCTTTATTTAATCAATATTGAATTATCAAATTTATGTTATTTGGTGTTTCTTGCTACTTTTCAGAAGCAATCGCGCAAAAATAAATCTCTTTGGTTTTATGGTAGCAACAAAGTAACCGCGATGTACAACAAATATGCGGATATGACCGTGAGCGATATCCTTCTTTCTCGCCCGCAACGGACGTGATCTAGTGATCATGATTTAACGGCGGTAAAAATTATTGCCTTGTCCTTGGATACCATCACCTCGAAGGACTCCAGGCATTCACATGACGTCCTTTCATGTGATGTCTGGCGCAAGTCATTCCTTTTTCACTCATGCGCTATTCTCGTCCTTCGACGGTTCAATCACCTGCCCTTGCTTTTCCTGTGACGTAGATTGGTACATATTTGCGCTGCATGGAGATTAGTTCCTTAAAACTTCTTGTCAAACGAAAATCAACGAATTGATGATCGAAACGAATAAAAACCAGTAAATATGTTCGGTTTCATTTATGTAAACGCACAAGAGATTATGTAAATTCTTTTGGGAAAATACATACGAATAAGAATTATAATGCATTTACATATGTCGGAAAATATTTTAGTGTTTATACATGAAAAATTTACATAATTATGTAATTATGTAACTAAGAAAAATTGCTTGTATTATCTGTAAATGGAAATATTATTCTTATGAAATAATTATTCTTATAAGAAAAGGGATATATATCTGTATAATCAGTAACTTTGTTCAGCAATTTAAAAAAAAATAGAAATAAAAAAAATATATTTATGAAAAATTATGTGCTCTTTGCAGGAAAAAAACGTGTATGTTTTATTTCAAAACATTAATTTTTTCTTTATTAATATTACAACGATTGCAAATTCATTATACATGCAACAAATTCGTGCTTTTCACATTGAAATTATCAGTGAAATAAATACTTAACTTTGAATTGAGATTCCCATATGTTAATGAAATAATTTTAATTTATAAATATTTTAATTTATTTTAGTGTACATGCTGTTGCGCGTATATTTTGTATTCTGAGCAAATATCAATTAATATATCTCAATAAGAATACAAAAGTAGTTGTTCTCTTTAATTAAGTTACATGTCAATAAAATAATTTTAAATTATAAATATTTTAATTTCATTGTTTTAATGTACACACTGTTGCGCGTATATTTTGTATTCTGAGCGAATATCAATTAATATATATCGATAAGAATATAAAAGAGTTGTTCTCTTTAATTAAGTAAACGACCAAGCGATTAGATTAATCGCATCAATAAAAATTGTAATCATAAGATATCGGATTTTTCTCGAAAAATTGGCTAATTACAAAAAAATTAAAATCGGCTAATTAAAAAAAAACTGCGATAAAACATACTTTGACAGCACGTTATTCGTATGGAATAGAGAATTATTAATTACTTTACTAATTTTGTGAATTCAATCACTATCATAATAATGTTTTTATTGTTTTCGAAATGGGATAATAATAGTCTCAGAAACACGATCCTCTTTTTGATCGGTCTGCTCTACTTCTCGCAATGCAAGATTTTTTGACGTAAAAAATATTTTTATGAATTCACCAATTTCCATGGAATATATGTATATATTTAGAGAATTGTAATAAGGCATAAAACACACACACGTCCGCGGGATAAAAGTCAAAAATATAGTTCCTCTTTAAATATTTATGGCTTCCGAAGAGATCCTATTAATATATCAATTCACAAACTGTAAAGAATCCGTACGAATTTTTAACGCAATTTAAATCAACGAACAAAACTTTATTAATTATTTAAATGTGATCATATATTGAGATGTAAAATTGAAATTACAAAAACTTTAGTTACACAAAAAACTATTCTACAATCTATAAATCTCATAAATAACCGTAAAGAAGCAAGAATGAATTAAAGAGACATAATACGAGATTAACAATACATTCCGCGAAATTATTCAACAGCTATTAAACAAAATTTAACGAAATATAACGATAATTTTAATACTATCGCGCGTTATTTATTGTTTCTTTTTTCAAAAGTTAATCATATCCAAGTTAAAAAATCCAAAAAAATATACCGCAAAACATTCATGTATCACGCAGCTCTTGAAATGATCGCACTACTACGTAATCGTCAATTATAACATGTCGATGATGTCACCATGCATGTTTCTAGACACGATAGATTTGAATTTTTCCGTGTTCTGTGTTATTATCAATCAAATTATTAGCCGGTATGTAAAGAAACATGTATGCGTTTTGCTTACTGCTTAGACTCACCTGCATGTTTATCCAACATATCATGGAACCGGTCTATGTATTGCATTATAATCGACATGATGCCAGAGAGCTATCCTGAGGTCTACTTTGGAAATCTGGAACGAAGTCTATCACTCCCTCGGCGATCTTTTCTGAAAAGCAAAATAATGAATTCTCAAATTATAATCAAAGAAAACTGTCAAACAATGAATTCTTGAATTAATCAAAGAAAGCTGTCAAACAAATGTTAATTCTACAAGATAACGTGACATTAAGACTCATATAGACATAACGATATTCCGAATCCTTTTAAACAATATTTATCTTTTTTATTAAAAATCTGATATGTATAATAAAAATAAAATAAATAAAAATTGGTCGAATATATAAAGTTCCCTCTTTTCTCCTCAATTAATTAAAACGTGTATATAGAATTTATTGATCTGCTGTTTTATTAGTTACATGATGACAAATACATATTTTGTTCAAATCATATGCTCTCTCTCGATGGCAGACCTTAAGCTATTCAAACCATCGAATTCTGAGGACGATCATTATTTTATAGCTATCAAATTTTTCCTTCGCGAAAACGATTACGCGACACAATTGGACACAACGCCATCGCGCAATTCATCGGATTCGACCATGAAACGACAGAGTGGCCTTGAACCATTATACCAAACACGCCCGTTCGTTCGTATACAACACGATTGAATTTTAATTCTTTCGCGACTCAGGAGAGGACGAGTGCTCCTACGAATACACAAACAACACAGTTTTGCTCGACACTGTATCGTGCATTTCTCCTCGCAATCCTGAAATCACTAATGCTTTCCAATTCTGAACTCTTACCAATCCGAGATTGACACAATATCTGTATTTAATATAATATAATATATATATATATATATATATATATATATATGTATATATATTAAACATAATATATCAGTCAATTAAGCTTGTGGATTAAATATGACAAAATGATGACTTTTCGATTAAAAAATATCAAATTTTAAAAATCATTAAATAAATGGAAACTATAATAATTTTATTATTATATGACAATTATGTTGCATATGTTCTACCTGTGCAAAACTATCAATTATATTTATTTAGCCTGTTTCATAAAAAAGTAAAAAAAATTATATACTTGAACTATTATACTTTGTAAAATGATAAGAATTAAAAAAATTGCTTGATAAAATTGAAGTGTGAAACAAGCTTAAATTAATCGATCGACGCTAATTGGATAGTTAATATATGCGTGAAAATCTTGGATTTGGAAACATTTCTTCATATTCTTGTAAAAGGCAACTGTGAAACTACAGATTAAAAAATAATTTGTGAAAAATAATTTTAGTATAAAACTAAAGATTAAACTTGTATAACGCTCCATAACATTTTAATAAAAAAGATTAAACGTGTATAACACTCCATAACATTTTATAAAAAAAATATATTATTTCGATTTCTACGGAGAAATTTCGAGACAGAGAACGACATTAATTACAAGTTGCCGAGTAACCTACTGCTCGTTTGTACCATTCAATAACCTGTTAAATTTCATGAGCAAAATTCTTGCATTAATTTTAAATAAATAACCATTGATCTCATTCCTTTCGCCTTGTACGAATTTTATATGAAGTGAGAAATGAGAAGAGAAACCGTCTCCAAATCTAAAGAAGATTTCGATTTTCACAATTAATTATTGATAAGATATCTATTTTATAGATATTATTTATCGTATAAATTACATATGTATGTACAACACGTATAGTTTTAAGTACCATTTCCGATTCAGAACTCCTTGAGTGTCGGTGAGAGTCATTCTGAGAGTCATAACAAACTGACCATGATTAATGATATATTTTTGCGTGGTCGTCTCGCGGGCGTAAAAAAATGAATTTTTCAGAGGATTGCGAAGAGCAAGGAGAAAAGGATCCAGGTCGAGAACGAATGGAGGTCCTCTCGAGCGATCGTCGGCTTTGGATGTTTTGCCTGCTTGCAAAACGAAAAGCCGAAAACGCGCCGAGCAAGCGAAATACCGCCGGGATTATGTTGCGAAAACTGTATACATTATAACAGAGCCGCGCGACGGCACAGAAAACGGGCCGGATCGTATATATGCGTGTCTGTTGTATGTGCGTTACGCAAGAAATCGGTCGCACCTGCGCAAGCATGTGTGCGTGCCGTTTGTCACCGTCTACCTGAAATCATCATCTAATCTAATCGAAGAAAGAAAGAAAAATCGAGAGAACGAGCATTTTTTGCACAAGCCCATACTTAATATTAATACCTTAGCAATCTCGTGTAATGATTTATGGTACGGTCCGTATCCAGCAGTTTGGCAGCAACAACAATTTTTTATCGATTAATATGCGACCTATATATTTTATTCGAACATACTTCTGGACCAAATTAACGCATAATTTTTGTTTTCACTTTTTCTTTAAAATTTTTCGTTAAAATTTAAATATCAGCTTTTAAAGAAAAAGTGGAAAAAAATTATTAAATTTTAATCGTTAATTTTGTCCAGGAGTATATTTTACAAACATTCGCATTTTTTCCGTACTGTAATTATCTCGAACGAGTCGTGATTAGCATTTGAAATTTTTTTTCTTTATCTCATTCTCTTTTTTTCATTATCTCGCATTTAGTGTCCATTGATCTCATTCAAGCTAAATATATTGTAAATGCTCAATGTATTGTGCCTGCACATCCACCGAATAATGTTAAGTGATAACGCCTTGTTGAAATTAAATGAGAAAAAAGGTCCGGGAATGCGGAAAAATTTATTCATATGTCAAAGTGAATTTGCTCGATGAATAAATTCGCGAGAGGCCTCATTTATTTTCCTCGCGTTTCATTTTCGCGATAGAGAACATTGCGCTCTACACATAGGTCAGTATCTTTATTTAGCCTATAAGACGCACCTGCCTGCGTTTATTTATAATTCAAGATAAAATTGTAAAGCGATGATAACAATTTCACGAAGCCATATATATTTTATATTATCGCTTATAAAAATCCGTCTTCCTCGAATCTTAATCGATACTTTAATAATCGATATATACGATATCATCGATTAAAAGAATCGCATCACTTATAGAAATAAGGAGATCGTTACTTTAATAAACAAAAACATATATCAATATCATCGAATTATATTTTAATTATCATTTATTTATTACTACATGCTTTAATGATTTTATGAACACGAGCAAAACAGCTCTTGGAGCAGAAAAAAAAATTTATTCATTTATTTGTGTTTTCTGGGGAGTAATGCAATTTTTTTGATCGATATGTGTGCTATACTGAAATGTAGCACACATGTGTTTAAAAAAATATATTTTTTTTTGTAATTACAAAAATACCTCTGCTCAGGTATATCTACAACGATAGTATTTCTTATAGGAACAGCGACGAAGTGGCGAGGTCGCCTCGATTTTATCTACTTGCGCAAATAAACGGCAGGATGCTATCTACTGGTTGCATAATGATTTTTACGATAATCGCGGGGCAGCATAATGAGTTCGCGTAACGCATCAGCCCGAAGGGCTAAATCGGGACGTGATACAACATCGTCGACGACAACGACGGTAATGACGACGGCGATGACGATGACGATGCCAGTAGCTGCGCCCACTGGAACGCGTCCAATCTTATGGACGCCGGTCGTGAAAGTGTTTTTAAAGCCCGAATCGTCGTCGTTGATACGTCCCGTGGAATCAGCTGCGTTAAACGAGAACCGCAGGAAAGTTAACAAACATACCTCACGCCAGTAACGGATTTCAGGAATTCAGGCCCCACACATTACTTCAATTTAATTCGCATGACAGAAAAAACTCTTTACCTCTTCTTTCGATTCAAGAATGGCAGCGATGAAAAAGTATCAGTGATTGCAAAATTTGAATCTTTCCAAGAGAATCGTTTGTGTAATATTTGTCCTTTTTTCTTCTACAAGCTTTGAATTTAGATATAAAAAATAACATTTTATTTAGACACGAAGAATGATAGTAATTGCAAGAACATTCGAAAAAAATCGAGTTAAACTCCCGGGACATATTTTTTTCGTTGTTTATGCTTGCTTCAAATTGACCACGCTTTACGTTATTAGATATAAGAATAATATTCTCGTCATGTCTGCGCGATTTGTCAAAGTTAGACGCATGCGGTACTGCTTGATGCGGCAGGCTGAAAGTGCAAGTATACCTATTATATACGACGCAACCAGCCGGTGCACTTAAGTAATAGTAACTCGCGCGCTTGAGTAACGGAACGAAGAAAGATGGCAAAGACGCAAAGAGAGAGAGAGAGAGAGAGAGAGAGGGAGAAAGAGGAGAGCAGAAAGAAAAAGAAAGAAAGAGAGAGAATAGAGAAAGGTCTATCGCAGACCCGGCATGCCGTCGTCGTTGACACTCCGAGAAATTGCGGTCGCGTGCTGTCACTGTCCAGCGCGCCGGAGAAAAGTGCCGGATCGACGACTGTTGCAGATTACGGCTTCGATATAATGAACCCACAGTTGGCTCTCGACAAAGTGCAAAATTATGAAATTTCATTGCAGCATCTCTCCCCCTGCTTGATCAAAATACTTTCTATATGTGTATTTATACATGCATTTATGCAGGGAGTCAGGGCAATTTCTTCCCAAAAATGCTCCTGTAGCTTATCTCGAGAGCTTATCTTTTCGAAACACTATAATAAAGTATTTTTTCATCGAGTACTTTTCAAGTTATGAGGCTTGAAATAATCTCTTAATTTTATATAAATCATAAAATATCTAGTAAAATATTCATTTTTCGATTATCTTACCTTAATACTTTTATGTACAAAATAATGAGAGAAATCAATTGGTGTAAATAAAACACATAATTGTTTCGAAAAAAAAAATACGTAATTGTTAATTGCAAATTACATATTTTTTCTTCGAAGCAATTATGTATTTTCCTTACACTAATTGATTCCTCTTTCATTATTTTGTACATAAAAGTATTAAGGTAAGATAATCGAAAAATTAATATTTTACTAGATATTTTATGGTTTATGTAAAATTAAGAGATTATTTCAAGCCTCATAACTCGAAAAATTCTCAATAAAAAAATACTTTATTATAGTAGTATTTAGAAAAGTTCTCGAGTTACAAGAGTTT